CTAAAACCAAGTGCATAGTTAGACTTACTTTGCAATCTGATGTGTAAGAGGAATAAGTATTGAATACTTTAATGGAATTTATTCTGTTCCAGATTTTGAGTCCGTTCATAATTTCAACTATTGAATGCCTAGGTTCTTTTTTGCCTTTACCAGTTAAGTGTAGGCTTCTGAAGCTGTAGAGCGTAACTTGAAGTAGGGGAAACAGCTAATTATATCACCCTCATTGCTTTGGCCTCTACAGTGACCAGAAGGGTTTGTATGAGCTCTTCCTAATCCAACTTAAGTGAAAATTGAATTATCTTAAATAGCTAAAAAGGAGTTTTGAATCAACGTAACTGACCACCAAGCACTTAATTCTGCCAGCAGAGCAGAGGTTATGTTCTCTAGCTTGCAAATAATAAGCTTTTGGAAAGATAGTATCTTCAATCTTAAAATTAAATTTGAGTAAGATACCAGACTGTGCCCAGTGATGACTCCATGATAGGGGATGGAATTTAGATTTGGGGAAGACTGAAAGAGTAAAAGAAAAGAAATGAGGATATTGGAAATTGCTATCCTAATTCTATACAGATTCAGTTTCTTTGTAGGCATGGCATATTTCTTTGTAGATACTACAGCCTCCTCCTTAGTTTAATTGATAGTCTTTTAGCATAGTTTTAAAATTAGTTTGGACAGCAGAAAGTGCTGCAGAAAATGAAGACTAAGAAATACATAGGTTGGGAAATTAAGCATCAGTGATACTGAATGAATTGAAATGATTTGGGATTGCATTTTTTTATCTAAGAAGTACCACTATACTATAAGCTATAGTATAAGCTGTTTCCCTTTGAATACATCATTCATTTAAGCAACTTGATTTTGAAAATGTTTTGTTTTGAATTTAGGACTTGATAAAATTGAATTTCTTCAGAGGCATGAAAACCAAGAGATCTACCAAAAGGCTTTTGAACTCATAGAACATTACTTTGGTGTCGAAGAAGAGGACTCCAGTATTGCACCTCAGGTGGATGAAAGTCAGCAGCAGTTTGTGTTTCAACAGCAAGAGGCTCCAATGGAGGGGTTTCAGCTGTAAACTACTGAAGACAAGCATAAAATGTAAACACTTGTAGGGGTTTGGGTTTGGTTTTTTTTTTCCCCCCAGAGGTCTTTTCTTTATGGCCAAAGTTAGAGGAAAAGTTGAATATGTTTTGCAGAAATAGATGAAGAAACAGCTCATGCACTTTTATATATTGTGTTAGATACAACTGTTCTTTGTTTTGTATTTGTGTTTTTCATTATCTCTTATGTACAGAAAACAACTGTGAGTAATCATGTCTAAAGCATTAAATGTGATTTAACAAGAACTGTTAAGCTAAGACTTGGTAGGACTTTCGGTAGTGGTTCTGAATTTTTCATGTCTCAAACTGCATATCAGCAATACAGTTACTGACAGTTGCATTTTTGGCAGTAGGCTTGACTTGCCCAGTCTCTATCAAATCTACCTCTTGTATTGAAGCAAAACCATTGCTTCAGAACGAAGGCATGAAATAAAGATGAGCTTGTAAGAAGCTGAATTGGAATGTGAAAAATATTTATTTAAATTGTGAAACTTTTATGCATTACTTACTTTATAAAACACTGTTGGAATTTATTTATAAAATGTATTTAAAGACATAACAGACATACATATATAATGCTAATTACCTAATATAATATTGAATATATGAAAAAGCTTTTTCTGAATTATGTGGGAAGAGGACTATTTCAGAGGTTTTCAGATTGGAATCAGCAGAGAGCTTGCAGGTCATTTGATGCTGGCTCTGTAATTAAAGCTGCTAAATGGCATTAAAAGTCAGCCACAAATACAGTACTTTGCAGTGGAAGCAGTTGCTGTAGTTACCACAAGAATGCTGGTGATTATGAATGACAGAGATGGTGATTTGCACAAATTGCCAAGCAGATGGTCTACAGCTGTCTCCTGTCAAAATGTGGTAACACCATTTTAGTTTGAGAAATGTTGCAATGTTTGCCTTTCTAGTACAGTAGCTTCTTAAAAGTTTTGACAGTAGGTGTTATTTTTTTGACCAAATACGCTACTGCCACTTGAATTGTTCTTTAAGTTAACTAACTCGGTTTTCTTTTGGTAAGACAATAGAAATACTGCAGTGAAGAATGAATAGTGAATCACTCCTTTCCAGTTGAAGGAAAAGTTTGTTGTACTGTAAATAGCATTAAGTATGTGGACACCGAAACTAACTAGAAGTTATTGTCATCTAAATATTTAGGCTCTACAATATACAGTGTTTGCTGTTAAACACTAAAAGAATTCTAATATTTACATTAACAGTTTTTGAATACAGAAAAACGTATGCTCTGCTTTGACTTGCATTTAAGTAGTGTTTCTGGTGTATTAGTAGTATATCTCATTTGGAGAAATTAATACTTTGGGTTAACTCTGAAGTATGATTATTTTTATTACCTGTAATTAATGTATTAACATCAAACTCCTGGGTTAAGTGAAATCTTTGACATATGAGAGCATTTCATGCTTCGTAAAAAGCTGCAATTTAAACTTCAGATTACTTACCCATGGCACTGTGCTTGTCACTAAACAGTATTTTAATGCACTGAAAAATACAGGTTAAAGGTGGTATCATTTACAGTACCATTTTATATTTAGAATTTTTTTTACATGCAAGTTAATATTCTAAGATGTTTCACTTTGATGTTACAGCAATATATACTATATTGTAATTGAATGTGGGACTTGAAGTGGATTTTCTAAGATTACTGGTCAGTTTTGACTAAGATGTAACTGGGAGGGAAGAAACCTCTTTTTGAAGTCTTTTTAGTGGAAGATAGAAGTGTAAGATGTATATAGGAGTGCTGTTACTTTATGAACTCTGAATAATGAGATATTTTAGCAAATGACACTTTAAACCTAGATTTGTACAGCATACAACAGTTTTGAATAGTGTGATAAAGAGTACAGCTGCCAAATTTTCATATAATGTTAGATGATTGTATTTGTGCCCTTTCTACTCTCATAGTTTTAGGTTTTCATATACTGACCTTCCTCCTTACCCGGTCCCCCTGCCCCATCTGTTCAAAGTACAGGGTAACGATCATGGAAATCTACCAGGATTACTAGTAAATGCTGAATTTCAATGTTCTTCTAGTGTAAGAAAATTATTCAGGTAACAGGGTATTCCATGGTTTCTAACAACCTTGTTTTGATAACATAACCAGCTGTGCCTGCTTTAATTTGGAGAACCCTGTAACAACTGCATTTATAAGCCTCTCTAAACCAAATCTGAACTATAAAAATCTTGATTAAAAGACTTGAAGAAAAGAGGGGACGTTTAAAGTATTATATTTGTTTTGAAAGAACGTCTTCAGTTTTGTGGATATATTCTATATGTGTGAATGGTTAGTGACTGCACTTTACGCATTTAGATAAACTGTATTTCATGCCTGATACATTTAAATGTAATAGTTTAAAAGGGAACTAAAATTGATGGACTTTAGCTAATGAAAACCATTATTTAAACTCAACATTTGGTTTACCCTAAAATTGTTAAAAAAAATAATGAAAATTCTTCTTCAAAGGATATTTTATCACTGGGTTTACATCACACTTTGTTAAAAGCACATAAATGAACACTATAAAACTAGAGGTGATGACTTAAGTTCAGCTCTGGTATAGTCATTAGGGCATAATATGATGATGCTTAAACAGATGAAACCAATGTGGAGAAAAAAAACCAAAACTGTGAGAAGAAAATCTCTTTAAGTTTGGTATTTTATATGGAATCTGAAGTGCCCTATCAGTTACAAAGTCTGTTTCAAAATACAGGGGTTTGTTTTTTGTGGGTTTGGTTTTAATTAAAAGGGTACCATTTGTTCTGCTTAAATGTGAATACTAACTAGCTAATCTATGCAACTATGCAAAGCATAAGATTATTTTTTTTTAGTTCCCTATTCTTGATACACTGAATCATATCTAATTTTTTCATTGTTGCACTTTTGTCTGAGGACTGGTTCATACAGCTTTTTAATTTTCTAGTATTTGCTTTAAACACTGTTGCTAGCAGCAATCAGAAAATAGTAATAATGTTGGCACAGAAATAAGTTAGCTGTAGAACAAGTTTGCAACTGGAAAATGTTTATTGTCGGGTCTGTCTTTAAAAAAAAAAATAGAAAAGATGCACTATTGTCTTTCCTCCACGGTTGGTTCTCAGTTGGTTTAAATTTATTAAATTGTACAACTGAGGATTTTTTTTTATAGGTCTGTCAATTGATATATGAAGTTTAACTGTGACCTCAAGAGTTCACTGAAATCTGGAATGAGAAATTTCAGTTAGTTATGGCACAATATCTTCATACAATGTGTGGAAACTAAAATACCTATACTAACTTCAGATAGTAATAGTGCATCTTTAAATCCAGGCCAAAGGCCCATTACTGTAACAGAACACATATGAGTAGTATGCAATATTATGGAATGTTAAATCTCCAAATACCATACAGAAACCAATAAAACCTATTTTACAGACGTTTATTGTATTTATTTAGTGCTTCAATAACTGTGGCTGCTTAAACTAGAAAACGCAAATGCCATTTTGAATACAGCATTGCGGCAAATGAGTTCAAACTGGCTGATTTGTGTGCTGTAAAACTGCATTGTCACTGGACAGAAAACTTTTTGGTTTTAAATATGTTTTGTAAATACCTATCCAAACATACCTGACATTCTTAGGAAACTACCTCATCTCCTTTGAAATTAATTACTGCTTTTAATCGTACGCAGAACATTCTAACTAATTTTAATTGTATGCAGCAAGTACATTGGGTATCTCTAATAAAAGAGACCCTCTGTTTCTTTTAGCAATGCTGTAACTACCCTTACTGGCTCCAGCGTGGGCGATACCACAGTTGTCCATTTATTGGTGAAATTCACTAATCACTCTCACCAACAGTTAATTTTGCTCCTACAAGGACATTTGGCATTTCATACGAAGTTACTTTGTCTTCGACTCCGCTGCTAGCGCGGCCTCTTGCCGCCACTTGGCCTTCTTTGCCAAGTTCCAGCTCGTTAAGGACTCGTGACGTGCAGCAGCCTGTGGAAGTAAAACGTGGAGTAGCGTCATAGGAGTAACGATGTGCCTCAGGGAAAGCTACCCAACCTCGGGAACAGCCAGCAGCTACTTATGTGGCAGGGTGACAGGAACATAGGTTAGCTAAAACTAGGGTAGGTGTAAGCTGCTGCTGTTTGTTTAGGTTTGTCTACTTTTCACAGAATTCGTACTCACCTTTTTAGCTGAGGCAATCACTGCAAAACAGGCAACAACTGAGAGTCCAATCATGATGTAACAAGCTTTAACTCGAGCTTTGTTTCTTGCCCTGTCCAGCATCTCTGGCCTGCAATAAAAGTTATTGAATTGAATCATTACAAAACTCTGAAGTATCTCTTCTTCAAAGCATCACAGATGTAACATCACAATTGAAAAATGAAAATAGAATTGGCTTCTAAAACAAGCATCTTCAGCTTGCTGTGATTGGTTACATACTACCCAAGAGCTTTGCATTTTCTGACCCTAATCCGTTTCCGGTGGAAAAACAACATTTAATGGATTTGAGATGATCTTTTTTTTTTTAAGCTTAAAAAAAACCCACAAAACTGCTTATGCAATAAATATTTGCATTTAAATACTTGGGGTAAATACACCAGAAAACATACCTTATGCTCATTCAAACAGTGAAAATTAAGGGGTTTTATCTATTTTAAACAGATGGAGAAGTATATGTTGTGTCACCCAGATGTGGTGAAAGCAAGTTCCTTTTATTCAAAATTAACTTTGGAAATTAATTCCTGTCATATCTAACCTGTTCAGGTAGCATCCTGTATACTGTAGGCTAGGGACTTTATCTATTTGGATAGGTGATTAAAACAGAGTTTGTACTGCTACAAGTTTTTAGTTCTTTAGAAAAGCAGCAGCTTTATTTAGAGTGGGCAGCTGATGTCAGCCTTCTCACTGTTACAGGAACACACACCTAAACAAGAACAGTATGTGATTAGTTTTGCTGGCCATCAAAGGCAAAAGGAATGAAAACTTCTGCCCTGTATTTGGCAGTAGTTGCTGCACGAGAGGCATTGTACAGCCCAGCAAGCTGTGTTGGTCCAGCTCCCCTTTCCACCCTTCTCCGTTGTGAGCCGGCTGCATGCCCCTGCGGACCAGCAGTACGGGAAATCTCCATTACCACTAGAATTGTCTCAAAACTTTCAGCCAAGTCTTTTTCTGAGTCAGACATTATACTTGGGATTACAGGTTTTCAGATGTTCATTATAATGCTGGCTGTGCACTATTTTCCTTTCATAAATCACCTGGGAATGCTTTATCTCTATATATTCATAAAATATAGAATATAAATATACATAATATATAGTTATGGTTTTATACATATATATGTAAAAAGGATAGTTGCATAAAGAATTGATTTTACGCTGTGAGTAAAGATCTTGTAATGATCTCTTTCCCCCAAAACAGCTTTAGCTTTACTTTAAAGAGGATGAGTGGTGGGACGGGGCAAAGCCGGGGTTTTTATGGTGGAAGTTCTGCCCGTGGAAGCCTGTACCGAGGCTGAGGGCTGCAGTGCTTCTCTCGAAGGCTTAATGCAGCGGAGGAGGGCAAGCGTGAGGAGCGGCTGTGCCATACTAGCCCCTTCCCTGCCAACACACACGCGAGCACGTGTTCTGCGTGCCACCTTCCTCGCAGGTGGCTGACAACGCCTGCGGTTCCACGTAACCGCTTTTGTTTTGTACAATGGTAATCATCATCGTTAAATCAAACCGCACACTGGACAAGCACACGAAATCATTAATCCGCTAATCCATTTGTAGCGACAAAAGCAAAACCGTAAGTGTTATTAGTCTAGCTTATTAGCCTAATCTTATTTCACAATGCACTAATTGAAACTCTTCTGAAGCAGATTTTCACTTTCTCCCTGCTTTCTGCCTCTGCTTTAAGGAAAACAGACCTGATTATGTTCTTCCCTAATTGCACATTAGGGCCTTTACCGCTCAATCAGGACTGGGTAAACCTCTACTGAAGTCAGTAACAGCTGTTTTTAAAAAGAAACAAACCACAACAACCTTGAATAAAGACTGCAGATTTGACTCTAGTATAAACTATCTTCAACAGCTAGATTGTGTTCACAGGTAATGATATCCCACAATTTTTTTTTGTTAATAGTTAAAGCAGTGACACAGTTCAGCTTCAGAGTCTCACAATTTTCTTCTAGTATATTACTATTTATGATCTTACAGTTCTAAAAAGACTTTGCTTGCCCAGGAAGCTCAAAATGGTGACACGCACTTGCCAGGCCAGCTACCGCTCAGAAATGAGTGATTTGTGTGCATGTACATGTACGGACTGGCAAATGCATGTGGCTTTATAAATGCCTCCTGACGACTTGAATAGCTTTCAGAGCTTCTGAGACTTGTCTGAACCCTTCTCTAGGGAAAGGTGGTGAGTCTAAGACAGCGCAAGAGAGGTTAGACCCTTTAGAAAGCCACCATCCAGCTCAGCAAACACCAGTGAAACTGTCAGGAACCAACAAGAACAGGCAGAGGATACACCCGTTGCTTGACACAGCCTCGCACGCTGCTTATGCTTAACATACCGCCCAAGACAGGGACGTACTGTGATGATAAAAGGTAGTGTCCTGGAGAGGGACGTCTAAACACACTATCTAACATCCTTCAAAAGAGGCAGCAATTGGCATTAGAGGGGTTTCATGTGTTCAGTGACTGGCTCCCTTGGGGGATGCTAACTTTCAGCGCGTCAGAGAGCCACCGAATCAGCGTGGTTTGGATGGAAAGGGACCTTTGAAGATCATCTGGTCCAGTGGGTCAACAAGAATGGGAGGCTAAGGCTATGTCAAGCAATTGGTTTTCGTTGGTGGGGGACGTTTCTCTCATAACCTCCTTCTCTATTTTTCCTCAAATTCTATAATAAATTGTGATTTGCTGAATGTCATCATCCAGTGACAGTCAGCTCCCTTAGAGCCGTTTATGGGAGCTATAAACAGAAAATATTGTTTACCAATAACATCCTTCTCTAATTGCACATTAGGAATAAGCAAAATAAACAAGCCAGTCCATAAACGTAACCAAGGCTATCTCCTCAGATGGATCCAGTTCTTAATCCCAGGCTCTGGGGACCCCAGAAAGGAACATTTTTTCATCTTAACCTCTAACCAGGACAGGAAATTCTTTTGCCCTCTAGTTTGTTTCCAAGTTTTCAGTGTTGAAAAACCGACCGGTTCAAACTCTGTGGAAAAGCTTCAGATCTGGATCAGGCCACCGCCTTCCCTTCAGCTCCACGTTCCCCTTGGACAAGGGCAGCGCACTTACGGGATCCTCGGAGGAATCTCTTCTTCTGTCTTGAAACGTCCGGTCCAGAGGAGGATTTTTTTGTCAAACTTCGAAGGTTTGTAACTTGCAACCACCCTGTGAGCCTGCTCAGCTTGAAGATAGGAGAAAAAAACCCCACTTCGTCAAACCGCACGCTAAGAGCGAATGACGGGCGGTAGTAACGGCCGAAGGGGAAAAGACCCCTGCCCCGTCCCGGTGGTCGGCAGAGTCACTCCGGCACCGAATTTCCCCACCTCCGCCCCGCAGAGCTCCCTCCAGGCGGTTCTCCCGAACCGCCCCCCCCGCTCGCCGCGATGCTCTCCGCGGCTCCGCTCCGACCTCCCCGCAGCCCACCGGTGCGGCTCCCCGGGGCCGGCAGGAGG